AAAAACATTTTGGTAATTTTTATAATTTAAAATTTTTTTTACAAAAATTAGTTTCTCCAAAAACGGTTTTTTTAAATAAGTTGAATTCTTGCAATACGAAGCTTACTAACTGGATGTCGTAATTGGTTAATTGCGGTTTCAGTTGGTTCGGGTTTGGCCAAGCTTCTGAGAAATTTTAAATATAACTAAAACAAAATCTATCTTTCTAGCCTTTCTCTTTCTTTCTCTCTCTTTCTCTTTCTCTCTCTCTCTCCCTCCCTCCCTCTCTCTCTCTCTCTCTCTCTCTCTCTCTCTCTCTCTCTCTCTCTCTCTCTCTCTCATGGGCATTGATTGTCACCCAATTTTGAACTGTCGGATAATTTTAGTAATTCTAATTTAATATGATATATATATATAATCGGATAGATGTGATTATACATAATTGCATCAACATTTTATGAAGCTGCTAGTTTAAATATGCACGTTTAAATCCGCCCAACGGTATTTATTTATAAACTGATAACACACTACAGATGAATCATGGCGAAGTTCATTCCATGAATTATTATCAGTGCCCATGCGGCATCGTCTACCATTAACCAATAACATTTAACAATTTGTCACACTTCTGAATTTGAAACTTAATTTAATGACTCTCAAACAAATCTAGTTTCGTGTTGCTTAAATATTTTTCAAAATAATTTGTTATCGAAATATCGCACTTGCTTGAAATAAAATAATTAGACAAGCTCTATTAATAAGTATGGTTCTTATTTTAGTTTATGAAAATGTATGTACATTCATCACTATAATGTATCCATTTGAAGTGATAGCTGTTCAATGTTTATAACGCAAAATAATGCCGAATTGGCCGAGTAATTAAAATGATATGATAAAGTTGAAATAAATTGCAATGTAATGTGATGTGCTCCCACACATAAACATTCAGAGCAGAACTATCAGTAACACATTAACACGCGACGTATGTAACCACTCAGAAGATGCGAGAATTTCTTGAAATCGAACCCGGACACTGCAGCACAGGACCAGGTGTTTTTAACCTTTACACCCCTCGGCGCCTCAATAGAAGTTTAGCGCATGACGAAAGTTTATGTCTTAATACATGTATAATGATTAGATGAGTGTGTGTGAGTGTGTGTGTGTGTGAGTGTGAGTGTGTGTGTGTGTGAGTGTGTGTGTGAGTGTGTACGTGAGTGTGTATGTGTGCGTGTGTGTGTGTGAGTTACGTACGTACTATCAACTTACAAGCAAACGCGCACATAATGTTTCATAAATATGCAGCCTGCAAGCCTGCGTGATACTCGGATGGATGGATGGATGTGTGAATGGATGGATGGATGGATGAATGATGCACTTCGTCACCAAGTCATTCTATGCCGTTTCTCCAAGCTGTGTTTTCAATTAAGAGATTTCATCCATTCATTCATCCACTCATCTATCCATCATTCACTCATCTAATCATTATTCATATCTTATTTAACCCATCATCGTCGTCGTCGTCCTCCTCCTCATCATTTTTATCATTAGCATTTTAAGTGACAATTGCTTCATCATTTAATAATTTCATCATCATTTAAATTTCATCATAGCAGCATCATCATCGTCGTTGTCATCATCGCCATCCTCTATCATTTCAACCATTTTGAACAACACCAGCATCACCAATGTAATGATTAAATACATCATCGGCAATGACGTCACGAATGGCGTCACAGCATCTTCAACATTGTCACAAGTCGTCATTCCACAATCTCATAAATCCTTCCTCCAGCACTCCGCGTTCACGTTTCAATAGATGATTATGTGAGTATGTGATGAAAACTAACGCTCAACAGAACCATTTTGTAGGATGGGAAGGTGCAAGGGATAAGCAGATGGAAAAACGTTAATTAATGGCACGATTCAGCTTCATTTTGTGCTACGAACATTCATTTCACTAGGCCAAATAACGCTTAAAAAGTTTTAAATAAAGTATTAAAAGAGTCAGGTTTTAACTGCAATTATGCTAAAGAATTGGCCATCTACTGCAAAATTTGATGTAGCTTAATAGCTGAAGCCCATGCAAACCTCATTCACGAGTAATTTTTTTGAGAGATTCGCATCATCGTTTGGCTTGAGTAAGATCTTAAACCAGAAATGAAATGTAGTGATTTGGGCATTTCAACGTTGTTCAATGTAAATTAACTCCCCAATCTTGGATGTGCCATCACTCAGCTCATCATGTTGAATACAGTCCACCTTGTGTCTCTTGTTGAACACCACTACATTTCAACTCCTAGAAAGTATTAAAGATCGAGTTTTGTGGAATTTGCCAATATCCTGAAAGGATAAGGCATGGGAAAGAAGAAGTAAGAGTAAGTGAAACTCATCCTTGCGGTCCAACATTTTGTCGTCCTTCCCTTCTTTGCTCTCTATAACTCAAGTCCAACCCAACATTCCACATGGGCGGGGCATGAACTAGGAGTGGGTGTGGCTTAAAATTCATTCGTGTTAACTTAAATACTTAAATTTTATCATTTCGTAGGTAGATTCAATTTTTTTAAAATGAAAGTTCAATGAAATAAATTCTGCATTTAACCGTTGGTTTCAAATCGACTTCAATTTTATAAAAATTCTTCAAAAGTTATTTCCTTATAATCAGCGCGCCAAAAAAACACACAGTACACACACACACAAACACACACACACAAACACACACACCACACAAACTAACAAACACTCGCACACGTGTTGAATCTTGATGTTGACGATAAAAAGGATGTAGCATTATTTTGTTCGTTTGTTCGTGCCGTCTTTCTCATGGCAACTAATTCGTCAATTTTTTGTATTCAAAAAAAATAAATTCTAACGAGGCAAGGAGCTAAAATTTTCGGTATTTAAAAAGTTTTATTTTACAGTCTTAAACATTTTAGGTTGAAAAATAATGTTTAAAAAACATCCAATAAGACGAATGAGTTTGAAAAATATATCAACTTGTTACTAAATAAAACGTGTTCATGCCGTCAAGTCCAGTCAGTTCAGTCATACAGACATACAAACAAATGTACATACAAACATATATACAAACATACATACAAACAAACATACATACATACATACACACAAACATTAAAAAACACACACACAAAAAACACACAAACAAGCAAACATACACACAAACACACACAAAAACAACAACACGCGCATGTCACACAAGCTTCCTGGAATTCCACTTTTATCTAATCATTGAACACAAAACACAGTGTAATTAAAAATAAATGCACACATTGAAATACTTACACAAACAATCCAGTTGTATATATACACATACACACACACAACACACACACATACACTCACACACAAATATATGTATATATATATATGGGCTGGAAGGAGCATATGTATATATATATATATATAATGTAATGTGTAAAAACATATATAAAATGAATGAAAATTTGAATTGAACATATGAAAGAATATAATTTTCAGCAAAACAAGAACATGTAGTTGCTTGAATGAATGGTTCAGGCAGCGGGCTTTCAATATAAAAATTCAAATTGAACATAACATAAAGTTGAATGAACATTTCGTCACTGACTCGACACATAAAGTTATGAATGTTGAATCTCACGGTACGGTACTTCCACGCTGGTCTATCGAGAATAATGTTAACTTAAAACGAATGAACGAGCGAGCAAGTCTGTCTCAATTCAATGCACTTGGGAGTCGTTGGATCAATAATATTAGTATTTCCGTCGGGTATATTTAATAAATAGAAATATATTTATAAACTTAATTAAAATAAATTTAATTACATATTACATTTAAATAATGTAATATGTAACGGTTGAAATTAAATGCGACACGTAAGAATCTGTGAAAAAAGTGTTGAAAGTAACTTAAGAGAACTGAAGTTTGCACGGATCACACACACGCGCCACAACATGATAACTGCAATATTATGCATTTGAAAGAAATTTACAATCTGTTATTCAAAGCGATATGAGCCATGCATTTTTAGAACAAACAAACAAACAAAAAACAAACTAACGAACGAACAAACGAACAACACACATACACATACTCACACGCACACACATTCGTGCTCATACAATGACGTGTATATTCATGTCTTATGAACACATAATTTTAACACATTCACTGGCAAGTTGGTTAAAAAAATGTCAAAAATGTAATGATTTCTTAATTAATATCCCAATTGCAAATGCAACCGTATAGACATAACATCCAAGCTTACATACAGCAGTTTTATATAGTGAAATAGTAATGGAGAGTCGAACAGTATGGTATCTACTCGAACAGAGGTCACTTCGTTGACGATCTTTTGTCGTCAAACTTGACACCGTCAATAAGATTTGGCACAAGATGTTCGGCGTTGCAGGGTTTGAATTCATAACATTAATTAGTGATTATTGCTGTTAAGTCGTTAATAAGAAATTGTGTTAAAAGAATTTCTCTTTTTTTAATTTATTGCTAATTTTTCGGCAAATTCATAAAACAAAAACGATAAACTAATTAGAATGTAGAAGAAATGAAACTCAATGTTGTCATGGAAGCGCTGATAAAAGGCACACATCGGCTTCAAGTGTCTTCAAAGTTAAATGATAAAAATAAGACACTTCCAACAATTGAAGGTTAATAAATATACTGAACAATATTAAACTGGAAATTGTCAGATGAAAATGTTATGGCAGCTGGAAGTTGAAAGGCTAACTTGAAATGAAACAATTAACAGATAATTAGAAAAACATGGCACTGACGATTACGTGATGAATGAATGATTTACAAGTCATCATGAATATAATTATTTTTTATTTACAAATTTAAGGTGGTGTTGCGGTTATTCTCTAAATGATTTGATGATATGAGTTCGATATGGTGGTGGTCACGAAGTTGATGGCAACGAGTGTTCAGCATGCGAGCGATTGAGCCATGAGAAGCGACTGCGCGCACTGCTCGTCACTGATCCTCTGCTGTTCGTTGTGAGCGTCCCTGATGTGTTGTCGCAGCTGCTTGTTCGTGTTGAACTTGCTGCAGCAGAAGGGGCAGGTGGTTGATTTGGTGGGGATGCCGAGGTGCGTCCTCAAGTGCACCCTCAAGTCGTACTTGTATTTGTAGGTCCTGGTGCAGAGGTGGCACTGGAAGGGTCGCTCGCTCGTGTGCACGGGCAGATGTTCGTGGTACTTGGACTTGAAGAGAAATGTCTTGTGGCAGAAGGAGCACTTGTAGATCTTCTGCTCCGTGCTGCCGGTGACTGGGACGGTGTGTGGCTCGCCGAGTTTTTGGGAGTCAGCAAATTTGTTGATTTTGTTGTTATTACTGTCTAATAAATCAAATGGTCGCTCTTCAGCTGATGTGAAAACTGGCACGGAAAAACTTCGGTTGGCAAATTCTTTCACAGCATTATTGTGGGCCGCAAGCATGTTCAACTTCATGTAAGCGCTCAGACTGGAGGTGTGAGCAGCAGGTATGAATGGCGATAGGAGAGGACTATTCATCAAATTTGAATGAACTTCTGGAAAAGTTGATGTTGCGGTTGAAGTGGCCGTCAAATATGGGTGCTTCATCGCGTCATGCTTTTCGTTCGCTTTATCGAAATATTCTTTTTTTATTGGCCAGTGTGGGATTGGAAACTGGTGAACTTTGTGGCTGTCCGCATTAACGTCGGGGGCCGAAGCATTGGGTGAAAATGTTGGCGAGGAAGGTGAAGAAGATGAAGGTGATGGGGCTGTGGGGGACAATGGGAGGGATTTGCTGCTGTCCGGGGAACAGGGGGGAGTTGTCTTGGTAACGAGAAGCGATGATAAGAAGGTGTTTGCGTGGGAAGCAAGTAGACATTTCTTGAGGCCATCCTGGGCGTTATCTTCGAAGACATCATCGTATTTAACTTCATCGCTTGTGGCGGCTCCGACGACGTCCAGCATCTCGTCTTCGTCCATGTCTTCCGTGTCGTTGTTGTTGATATCTTTCTTACACGTTTTGTTGTAAGACTTATCTTCCGACAGATCGTAAGAAGTCTCGTTACTAGATAGAATCCCCGATTCTTCCGTCTGATCGAACGAATTATACTTGAAACTTGAAAAATCCGTCGGCGTCATGTTTTCGTGGTCTGCCAAACCCGGATACTGGTTGGAGAGTTGGATGACGGTCATTTTGCCATTGCATGACGTTATGCAGATGGTCCCCTCAATGAGAACTGACATGCTGCTCCCTGTCTCCTTCTTCCACATGTCCAGGATGCAGCCAGCCAGCAGGTGCTGGAATCTTTCTTTTTGCACTCCGATCATATTTCTGAAAGTTTTAATTAAATTTTAACATGGTTTAACGTATTTAATCAAATGAAAATTTAATTAGACATTATAAAATGTTGTAAAATAATTGAAAATTTGTTGATTAATAACGAATGACATTTTATACTGTAATACAAATTATTATTCGCTTGTGCGTAACGTGAAATTGTGTACAAATAAAATAATTGTTCATCGATTCTTTTGAGCACTTACAATAAAACGACATACTCACGCAACTTCCCCCATTCAGCTTGGCTTTTATTCAATTTCATTTCATACAACAAGACTACTCATTTGTTCTGCTTGAAATGTTCAGAACTTATTAACTGCTAGATAGACGTTGTTAGCTCGAGCTGTAGCTCACACATTACTACATTTTTATATGTAAGAGTTGTGCAACACAATAGAACGAAGCTCAATTGAAACATGAAACAACTTCAACAACATCCTCATATCGTCATAACAACACTGTTACAAACCACCACAGTCATCACGTCACATCGCAATCCCACCACGATTCAGTTACATCATCACCATCATCATCGACACATTTGTTTTCAGCACACGTAGGTCTTCAAATGAAATCTGCAATTTATTGATATCATCTCGACATCACAGGCGACCAGCTCTCCGCAGCACGTGATGCAGCTTCAAATTTCTTAACGACCATTAACCCCATGCGCAATTGAACGGGTCAAGAGAAGCATGCTTGAAGCAGCTACAACATCAATGCGATCTCTTTTTCTTCAGAACGGATTAACACGTTCTGATGGTAATTGGGAGCAGATAACATCAAAGAAGCAATTCCAGCACGCACAACGTTATTAATAATTTATAACATATCATCATGGTGACCCTGTGGACATTTTAATTCACATCTCCTCTTCATCCAGTGCAACTGATTTTATTTATTGTTGTGCTGGTGTTTGCTGAAATGTTGAAATTGTGTTATACTACTCGATTCTCGATTGTTCGAAATAAAAAGCATTGACACCAACACACACCACACACCACACACACATACAGACATACACACACACACACACAGACAGACATATATGTAATATGGATACAATTATATATAACTAAAATTACAATTTTCCAAAAAATATTTCAATTGATTGCTCAAATGAATCAAATAATTAAATATTGGTGCACGCCAATGAGTCTAATTATAAAATATATTTATGGCGGGAGAAGAAGCTTGTAAGAAACTGTGAATTTGTAAGTTAGCACATCGTGAAAAATAACTTCAGGACTTTGACATGGTACCCTGTTGTCCTCTCATATGCATGTTGATAGTTGTACATATGTTGTACACATGTACAACATATGTACACACACACACACCAAACGCAACAAACACACACACACAGACAAACACACACACATTTCAAAAATTGCTTATAAGATCATCCAAATTAGCCAATATGGGGATGTATATTAAATCATATCGTCCAATAAATGAATAAATGTGCGTACACAGAGCTGTCTTCTTACCAACCCACATGTAGATTTAAATCAATTTATTTATTTATTCTCAAAATATATTTATACATTTGTTTAAATCTTTTCTAATTTTAAATTTCCGTTCCAATTAAATTAAAATTAACATTCATATAAATATAGAAATCATGCCGAAACGTTTAATCATTCTTAATTGTCATTAAAACTGAAAAAAATATTAATAGCTTAATTGAAGGCATGCGACTTTCGCGATTGAAGAACTTTAATTATTCAACACTCATGTTTATTTTTAGATGTTTCATGTAATTCAGAGTAACAAATTTGTGCTTACAACATCCGCCTTCGAAACTGTGCTCAGTTAGTTTTTTCGTATTTACAAGAAGAATTCGCAACCCGTCAGCATGAAATGTTCGGTTGGATATTCAGAATACTCATCACATCATCCCGGACCCATGTCGATTGAAATTTTTAGGCCTACTGCAATTTGACTTTGTTGCCACACATGTGGTCATAGTTTGAAAATTAAAACAAAAAATGCTCTGACGTGGAATGCACTTTAATGGAATCTTAATGATGTGATGACGACAAATCTTTCCATATGAGGCTTCGTTTTGACGGATGGAAATGTCCACTTATGATAATGAATAAAAATTATTATTTAAACAAACATACAAACGAACGAACAAACAAACAAACAAACAATTGACGAACGAACAAAATAAACAAACAGAGACAAAAACAATCATGAGATATGCAAAATGGTTCAGTCGTCAGCGAGAATGAATGGATAGCAATTTATTTATCATGCTGGCTGTTGTTTTGTTCGGCTAGATTTTCTGCTCGATTAGATTTTTTCTGTTGATTTGCAGTACCAGGATCTTTCTTCCACTCAAGTGTCATTTGGCATTTATCTACATTCTCTATTAAATGTGCGGTTTCACTGCTGACGCCTGCATGCATTCGTGTGCGTGTCGTTGTTTCGCTGTCTCAACAGAAGTCTTCATCACTTAACTAAATAATTAGACAAAAATGTCTTTAGTAGTTTGGCAATTAATTAATACAAAAACTTATGCCAAACTTGTCGGTGTGGAATCTTATAAGCACAACAAACGATTTTATGAAAAATGTTTCATTTTTTAACGCTACGCAATCGCGAAAGCTGGTCGTCTGTTTTGGCTGGTCATCAAACTATCTTCAAAAATTTTCAAATCAACAAACACTAACACACACACATTTGTGTTTGTTTCAGCAGCTGGTGACCGTTCTGTGGAAACACTTAAGAAGTGGGGACAGCTTACTTGGATTGGAGAAGATCGATTGCAATGTACCAAGCAGGATATAAAGCGAACCAGCGCTTTCAAAAGAGTTAGCTTGAAATAACAAACAACTGCATTCAAAGAAATGACTGCACGCATGACTGCACGCCCAACAAACACCAACACACACACACATACACACACATACACACAAATACACAAACATACACACACATACACACAGACACACACACACATTGACACACCACGCACATCCGAATAATGCTACTGGCAATCACATTCACACGCAGAAGTTCGTAAAACACAAGAAACACAAGACAATACAGGTGAGCCTAGTAATTGAAGTCACACCTGAGCTTTCATTCATTCGTTCATTCATTCATACATGCATATATTCATTCATTCATTCATTCATTTGTTTCCTATTCCTTCTTTCATTCAAGTTTTCATTACTAAGCACTTGCTATATATTGTTTGGTATTTTTCTGATGAGGTATTTCATTGCTGCTCTTTTGTTCGCTCGGATTCCTGACAGGCACATGTAACGACACAATGAACAACAAACATTCGCTTGCTTAACTGTTGCATGTGGGCTGGTGTTTTTTTTAAATTCATTAACTTCATTCATTCATTCATTCATTCATTCATTCATTTGTTCGTTCGTTCGTTCATTCATTCATTCATTCATTCATTCATTCATTCCTTCATTCATTCATTCATTCATTCATACATTCATTCATTCACTCACTCACTCACTCACTCACTCACTCACTCACTCATTCATTTGTGTAGAAAGATTTGTCTGTTGCTGGGTATGGGCATTCATAATGGAAGAACAAACAAACTTTGCCCAGAAATATATCTCCTTTACACACTACATATATTGCACATGCACAATTTGTTCTCACCATGCTGTCTTGTAAACAATTTTTGAATCTGAAAAAACTTTTTAATTTGTAAATATTAAAAAACCGAAAGTGCGATAAACGAAATGGTTTTCTCCATTCACATCTTTTCGCATCATTTACTCCAAGAATAATATTCCCCTAGCAGAACATGCAAATACCGATTGCAATTCAAATGGGTGAGACGAAGGCTGTCGAAGAAATTCAAATGAAATTAAATAACAACAAATACGACAAATAAGTTGAAGAAGGCATAAGAATGAAGCGGCTAAAGCGATCAAGTCGTCTTCATCGTGTGATGATATTATGATGATGTTGTTGTTATTAAGCCAAATTTTTTGCCCCCATCTGAACAGCATGCTCACTTCAAAATGGCCCACCATACCCATCCCATGCCTGCCTGCATCCTATTTATTCTACCTTACAACGGTTCATCAAAGCAATTATCAAACTATTTCCCGAAAACAACTCTTCGTGGCATGAATGTAATTATCATAATTAACTCTCACCTCTGTACACACACACACACACACACACACACACACACACACACACACACACACACACACACATACATGTATACATATATATTCTATTTATAATTTATTTATTTGTAAATATGCACGTAAATATTGTACAACCTACACGCACGGATACGTGCGGAATTAAATAAAAGGTTAATTAATTAATTAAGTTAAAGGTTGATTAATTAATTAAGTTAAAGGTTGATTAATTAATTAATTAATTAAGTAAGTAAATAATTAATTAATTACGCATTTGATCACACTCGAGTCCATCTCAACTTGACGAACGCCTTCCTGACTGTACGATAATTCAAAATCGAAGATATTAATATGACGTTCGGATAAATATCTGCACATTTAACTTTGGTTCATGCATTTCTGGCCTGCATAGGTTAGTTAAGCAAACACACACACACACAGACACACACACACACAGACAGACAAACACACACATTATATATATTATATATATATATCTATATATATATATATATATATATATATTGTATATATATATCCTCTTTGATAGCTGTAACGCTATTAACAACAAAACTACAAGCCGAAAAATAATAATGTAGCAATTAATGGTTGCTATATTTAAGGACTGCGCTAAATTTCTAGTCGAGGAATACATTTGTTAGTAATTGCCTCTCAACCAATTGTGTAAACACGTTTTACGTGTGTGTATATACACACACACGTAATGGATACACACACACGCACACACACACACATGAAATAATATATAACATATAATGCATAATATGTATGCATGCATGCATGTATGTATGTATGTATACAGGGAATTGTGTGCACATTCGTTCAAATAACAGATGATAATGTCAACCATTATGTAGCTGATTTCTAGAAAATTGGAGGTGATGTATGTTGTATGTATGTATGTGTGTGCGTGTGGATGTATGTATGTATGTATGTATGTATGTATGTATGTATGTATGTATGTGTGTGCGTGTGGATGTATGTATGTATGTATGTATGTATGTATGTATGTATGTATGTATGTATGTATGTATGTATGTATGTATGTATGTATGTATGTATGTATGTATGTATGTATGTATGTATGTATGTATGTATGTATGTATGTATGTATGTATGTATGTATGTATGTATGTATGTATGTATGTATGTATGTATGTATGTATGTATGTATGTATGTATGTATGTATGTATGTATGTATGTAAAAAAAATCATCAGAAACCTGAAAAATTCTGAATGTGTTTTTGTATGTATCTAGGGGCTTACATGTTGGTCTGGCAGTCGATTGTATCATGTTGATGTTGGTCATAAGTATCGTATGTGCGTACATTGAAGATTGATATTTTTTTTTTGCTATATTCGTCTAAATAACAAAGAGTCAGATGCATAATGCCTTTCTAACTTTAAATATATTCACATCAAGGTTGTTCAACAACTTCATGACTTCTGCAACTCACTCAGAAGAACAAAACATCAAACAAAATGTATTTATTTGTATGAATGTGACATTATAATGAGACACTCGCGAACATCTTTCCAATATATTCCAACTTAACAACATTGTTATTCAGGCGATGTCATCTTAAAATCTAAACAAAAATCATAACAAACAATGGAGGAATCATTAGACTTGCACAAATCCAAGCAGGCATGTTTAACACCAACAATAAATGATACGACCCCATCTCATGGTGGTGGTATAATTTATGCAGCAAATGCAAATGTTTTACATCATTGTATAATCATTAATTAGTGATGAAAATAATTGCTATGGATATCATCACTTATTATTTGGTGGATTGAAATAAGCATTTCAAATATTTGTCTTTTATTTTAATTCACTTAGTAGCAGCGCTATTGAAATACGTGAACAATAAATAAACCTGTCGGCTGGATACGAATCTTCAACAGGCAGAAAAACATTCAATCAACTTATTATTTATATTTATTATATTTAAATACTATAAATAACGAGATTGTATATTATATTTGTTAGGCTCATGGAATGCTTCAACTCAATCGAATATAAATTTTTAAATAAATAAATAAATATATATATATATATATATATTATATTGTATATATAGATATATATATTATATATAAATAAAAATAATTTTATTTTCAATTTTTCATTAAATTAATTTAAACATTTTTAATATCGCACATTCCTATCATACTTTATAATACAAATCTTCCTATAAAATAAATACTTATTCTATATCTATACTTACCATACATACACACATTCATCAATGATTAATATGAAATATTGTTAAAAGAAGCATCGTAAACAAAATTGATTAAAAAGATCAATAAGAAATGAAATATTAACAAATAAAAAAAAATCAATAAAAATGTGAACTCACTTCTACTGCAGAGCAAATAAAACCCAGTCGGAAATTTTCTCTCTTTATCGATCAAACTTCCAAACTCAAAAAATTTACTCTATCTCCAATAAATGAACATTCATCGAAATGTGCACACAACACACACACACACGTGTATATATACACGCACGTACGCACGCACATACGTGTATGGATGAAGATCACACACAGCACCGTTAATAACCGTGTTATATTATATTATAAAGTGGGCAGTGCAAAGATGAATTCGGAATCGTTCATTGGCCAGCAGGTCTGACCAAACATCATTCAATTCAATAGAACTCAATCTCATCTGACTTTATATCAGCGTATTAACAACTTCGCCTATCTACACCAGACTTCTATTAATGTATAATGTGCAGAAATATGTGTATGAACATACGTTTACATACATATATATATACATACATACATACATACATACATACATACATACATACATACATACATACTTACATACATACATACATACATACATACATACATACATACATACATACATACATACATACATATATACATACACACATATATATATATAACGTGTGGATTTTTGTTTGCCCATACGGGCCTGTGATTGGCTTTTGGTCTAAGTTTTGGAATAAATATTAAATAAATAAACATATGCTAGAAAAATACAAATACATACACTATATATATATACACACACACACACACACACCACACACACACACACACACACACACACACATATATATATATATATATATATATATATAATATAATCAGGTTTATATTGTACATACATATATATATTAAACAATATATATATATATATATATATATATGTTTTTGTGTATTTGTAGAAGAGGGTTTTTTGCGTGTATGTATTATAGTCCAGATGTATAACATATACTTGCGCATGTCAAGCTCCGTGCTAAACTTTATATGTATGAGATGAATGGAGAGTCAAATATGAGGAAGTAAAAATACACATGAAGAACTGCACATACCAACATGTGACATGGAAAAAGATGCTACTGCTGAATGATGGTCGAATGTGTGGAAGTCACTGGATCTGGAGATAGCACAGTGCACGCCACGTAGTGGCGTCATATTTTTACGATGAAGAATACTTACTAACTTCATGTTGCTATCCTGTTATTAAATTATGTGATGTTATGTCCTTATGAATGTAACTTGATGTCACCCCGATGTATGTTTGGTGATGATGTCACTATTTAGTTGTTAATAGGCACCGTTATGACAGTAAGTTAGTGTAATGCTACTACTATTATTATTATTATTATTGTCGATATTTATATAGCATCAAATGTAATGCAGAATTCCCATTAATGTTATTTGAACCGATGTGGCAAAAAGGTTTCGTGATGTTATGGTTATTATATCGCATGAACAATATTATTTTCAGTATTTTACGTTAGGCCTAAATAAAAATTTTATTTGGACAATAGGGAAAGAAGGTATTTAAAAGGGGATTTACTTGATTTATATTTACCAAATGATGGAACACGCCGTCCGAATGCTAGCAAGCTGAATAATGCGGCCTGACGCAAATCATACTCTGCAATGTCAGCTAGACAACGCAACAGTTTATAATTTACGCATGTTCTTCATTCTTGTAAATCGGTTCGAATGTTTAATTGTTCGCTTGCCAATAAGAATGAACTAGTGTCTTCAGTTGCAATGAAGCTAAATATAACTTTCGTGAAATTATTGTTAAATTATTTAACTACAATCCACACAAAATAACTGTTCATAATTTCAGCGTGACGAAATTTTTTATGGAATTATTATGAATATAATTAGTTACAATTCACATGGCAATTAATCGATTAATCATACACACACAGACACACACACACAGACACACACACATACGTTATATGATATGTCTTTAAGAATGTGTGAAGCAGTATATGGTTTGTTGCCTGATTATTTGATTGATAAAATAGAAGAAAGACGGTGATGATTACAGATTGGATGGTAGAGTCTTACTAGTCACTCCTGATACCAATTTGCAGATAGTTTCACAAGGTGTAACAGTTCCATAGGACCAATTACATGGTTAACTGTTGATAACTAGCACCTTATATTCAACTTTTTTCATATTTTGTTTTTGGATGTTTAAAAACTCATTTGATTCTAAATAGCACTTAATGCAATATATATATACATACGTACTGTATGCATATGTATATATACACTGTCCTGCAAAATCCTCTCTGACCCCGACACAACTAAAATTTAGTTTAGCTTAGCTTTGTAGGCCAGTGGGTCCAGGTCGTGAGTGATACAGTAGCAAACGAAGAGTGCACTGTCTTGTTGCTAGATATAGAGAGGC